CCCCGGGACCGGGTGGCACCGCGGATGGCACCGCGGAGCCCCGGGCCTAGGCCCCATCCCACCCTCTGCCCTGTCCTTTTACCCCGGGCTGCAGCTGAGGGGAGCGGGGCCGGGCCTGGGCTTTGTGAGGGAATCAGAAAGGAACTGAACGCGGATGGGAATTAGGCTGTGCTTGGCTTTATGGCCATGACGCTGCTGGCTGTCTTGTTTTGTTGCTTTTTAAGGATTTTGAGACATTACACCAACCAATGGAAAACAAGTCTCCAAGTTCCTGAAGATGTCTCCAGCAGGCAGACCTGTGAGAGAAGAATTACTGTCTACAGGACCAATTTTGATGCTTCAGTTATTAATTAATGTATTTTGCATACTTGGCACACTGTTGAGGACTCCATATTAACACCAACTCAGCACTTGCCTCCTGGCTAAGAAAACAACTTCTACTTCATCACCTTAAATTAATTTTTAGAATCCTTTTGCATTTTCCAAAGTTTTTTCAAAGCTTTATCAATGCAGCTCAGAATTGTTCATAACAAACATTTCAAAATCGTTCCTCGTGATCTTTTCCATCTAAAACATTCCATCAAGATCACACAGAATGGACAAATCACAGAATGCTTGTGCAGGAAACTTGCTGATAATTACTTGGCAGTTACTAATTTGTAGAGCAGGGTTGGTTTGTGACCATAGTGCTGATGTATTCAGATGGGCTTTGTGGATCCCTTTTTGCCTTTTGCTCATGTTAAAAAAACCCAAACCAACAAAAAAACAAGCCACAGAACAGATTTTTAGGTGTATTTTATATAGAGAGTCTCTGAGCAGTCACCGTGTTGTTTGACATCTGTGTGACACCAGCTGAATGATGGAATCGAGCTTCACAGAACTCCCAGGACATATAAATCATGAATATTCAATGAGAAATTAATAAAGCCCCATGTTAATTGGTTGAAAAGTTTATCATTACAGTGTGATGCCAGCGTTAGCATTGTAACCAGAAACAGCAAAGTTGAGTAAATGTTAAATCCACACGTGGGGTTTTAAACAGATTTTTGGAGACTGTGTTGAGCTTTAGATTAATGAATAATAATTTGGGGTTTTAAGTTTTTCTAAACAAGAAAACCAGAGATTTTTCTGGCTTAATGCAAGTGAAGTGTCAAGTAAATGGGATTCAGTGTAAGTTAGAAATGGCACCCAAAGCCCTTTTATATTAACCTGATATATTTTTTATACAACCTGATATATTTTTTGGAGAGAAGAAAGGCAAGTGAGAGTGAGAGACAAGCAGAAAACACGACGAAGAGACCTGAAGTGTAGACCTGCTGCATCGACCAGGCAAACAGGGTAAAAGTGAACAGTTTCAGGTAAAAAAAGAATAATCCCACACTGCCCTCTGGCCACACAAATATTCAATAACATGGTGGTGCTGCTGTGAGCAGTGTACAGCTCATTAATGACACCTCACAGCACAAGCAGGGGAGATTGCAGGCACGGGGCAGAGCTGAGCCACTCCACTGCTTCCCCTCTGCTCACTGCCGGGGGAAAGGGGTTCACTAGAGACCCCCAAACCCTCAAAAACTGTGTGAGATGGGTGTATCCTGGGGAATGAAACCTCGTTATCTGGTGAGATCCAACCCAACAGATGAAACATTTTCATCTGAAAACTCCTTTCGACGCCACTTGGAGCAGGGAACAAACCACGCACACGAGGCCATGGTGTGAGAAAGCATTCTAAAACAATTTTATTGGAATGATACAGGAATGGTTAACATACAGGTTAAATCCTCAATGCCTGCCTTCTACAAAGGAAAAAAAAAAAACACATGAAGAAATGAACAAATTCAGCTCTTGTGCCCGTCGTTAACCTGAGACAGGTACAGGGGAGGGAAAAACGGCGAAGAGGCAACGGGTTCCTAGTCCTCAATTCCCCTCCTCAGGAATGAACGCAGGTTTTGCCCTCGGTCCCACAACCAAGAGGGGTTTTCAGCATTTCCCAGCTTGTGTTGGTGTCCCCAGACAAAGAACTAATTCAGCCTGTCTGACAGAGCTGCCTGAGGAAGGCTGAGCGCCCCGTACGGCAGCGCTGGGGACCAGACAGGGAGGGGACTCTGCTTCCTCAGACTGGGCCACGGGCTCCACGGTCAGAAAGGGAGACTGGCCTCGTTTCAGAGCCTTCTGGGTCACTGAACTGACAGAATTTGGCAACGACTTTCCATGATGGCTTGTCTGAGATAATTGCTGTAATTCACACCCTGCCTTCCTGCCACAGGAAACGCGGCACATGGGCCTGAGCAGGGTGTGACTCGTGGGTCAGATCCCACTTCCCTCACAGGACCTTACAGTCCTTACAGACTTCCCCAAAAACCTGACCGCTCGTTAGAGGCAGTGAAAGGTGATGCCAAGATGAAGAAAGAAAAAACCCCCTCGGTTCAGAAAGGTGAGATCATAACCCATGACAAAAAGCAGACCCTGGATTTAAAATGGGACCTCACTCCCATCCCCAAAAGATCCTACAGCTGAATTTCACAACGTTTCAGGAATTCCTGACAAAGGCTGTTAATGAGAAAGCACAAATGTGGGTGTTACTCTTGCAGGTAAGGCAACATCAATCCACCCCTACCCCTTCAGATTCTGCTCTTGCTTTTCTAAGCACGAGCTTCAGAGTGATTCCCAGGCTCCAAGAAAGATAAAGCATGAATTAAATGTCACTTTAACTCAGCTCCACGTGAGGTGCTGCCCACTGGGGACCTCTGTGGCAGGTCCACCCTTAGCTGTCCAGAAGCAGAGCTGCTCTCCAAAGGCATTTAAAATGCATTTAAAATCACCAACATCATTAGAAACCTGCTTCTTACCCTTCAGGGCACTTGTAATTCTTGGTATTTTTGCCAAAAGTGGCCAAAATCTTGAGAGTTTCTCATGAGCACTGGGAGAACAGGCAGGTTAATATTGCACGTGGTAAATTCACCCCCACAATTCACTTGAGTGGATTTGCAATTCCTACAATAGCTTCATGATATGGCAAGAAAAATGGAAATAACTTTTTAAACCTTAATAATAAAAAAAAAAAACCACAACCAGTCTGGCTTAATTACAATAGCTCTTGCTATTCAAACATTTATTCCCTCGTTTGAAAAAATACTAGATGAACCTAAGGACTACTTGACCATGCAGGAAGTTGCCTATCAGCAGGGTGAGGTGATCTTTTTGGAGAGAAATGCATGAGAGGCTTCCACCCTTACAGAGGTGAGGAAGGGCCACTTCTGGCCTGTTGGCTGGGAGTCGGTGCCTCCACTGAGCCCTGCAGCTGGGGGATGGACCTGCCAAGGGACAGGCCACCCGTTGCCCAAACCCCCTTCTCCTCCTCCAGCAGAGCCCCCACGGATCACTCCAATGAGAAACACGTGGCATTAATTGTGTTTGGGGTTTTCTCTCCTCTGTACAGTGTGTGACAGCACAAATCTTAAATAACCACTCTACAGAAGAACAAGCACGACTGCCCAAAGGGACTACAACAGCTGGACTAACATCCCACCCAACACCAGGACAGACACCAAAAAATCCCTCTGGGTAAGTCAGTAACATTTTGGAGGCAACTCAGGCACTGAAGTTAGGATCTGACAAGGTTTTAGCTGCTCTTGCTTGTTTCCCCTCTTTTGGGTCCCTAGGTACAAGCCCGGCTGTATTATTAGCACTAAAACAGCTGCTCAAAGTTTACACAGAAATGGACAAATTGCCAGGAGAGGTTAAACTACATGAAAATCCTTCCTGTCTAGTTGCTTGGGTTCCCCGTGCTCCCGGCAGGGTAACAAAACACCCCCTGCTCTCTACGTTCACATTTTCATCTCGTGCTGGGATTTGGATCAGACAGTGAATGCTGCAAGCACCAATCAAACCTTAGAAATCACATCTATATGTCTTGAAGCGGAGACGGTTGGACTATTTTATAAAAAGCTGTGGAAATTCCCTTTACAGAACAGTTAAGGCAGTGGAAGTTCACGCTTGCTGCTTTGCCAGTGCTTCAGCTTCCTGAAAGAGCAGAGGAGAAGTACAGGTGTTAGTGCTCGAGGGCAGGGGACGACTCCCACACGCCTGTGTTGGCACAGGACATAACAAAACTTGACATGGAGGAGCCACACCAGCAAAGCCCTGATGATTCTCAGTGTCTTTTCTGAAGGAACATGAAAAACCTGCATTTTTTCAGTCTAGTTTCAGCCTTTGTAAGCTGGACACAAACGGGACCAGAGCGACAACAGAAGAAATGCAAAAGGATTTTTTTTCTGAAGATTGTTTCTACAGGTGTAGTTTTGACTGAAGATTCATGTCGTGACCTGTGAGCAGCACCATGGCCTAGAGAGCGACAACAGAAGAAATGCAAAAGGCATTTTTTCTGAAGATTGTTTCTACAAGTGTGGTTTTGACTGAAGATTCGTGTTGTGACCTGTTAGCAGCACCATGGCCTATGAGAAGCTCTCCCTGCAGCATGCCAGGGTGGACAGTGTGCTTTTTTTACAGCAAAAAGTTCAATATCTGCTTTTTAAGCTCAGCTTTTATCCAATGGTGGTGTTTGCTTTTGTGTCTGTGTAGAAATATTGTGTTGCCACAGCAGAAGAAAGACACTGAGGGGCTGGAGTGGGTCCAGAGGAGGGCAATGAAGCTGGGGAGGGGCCTGGGGGACATGGCTTTGGAGGGGGCG